TCTGTAAAAGGAATGGTTCATACATTTGTTGGAAGATTGGGAGGAAGAGATAACTTATAAAAAATACCTATTGCAGCGAGCGACAGGTCATAGATCCTCCATAAATGGTAGTTAGGGTCATGATTATTCCCCGACCTTCCAGTTGAGAGGAGGAAGTCCTGTCTGTTTCCTGCCTACAGTTTCTTTCTTGTTCATGAGAATTTGCGGTGGGCCCCCTGACCCTTGGGCGCTTGTTTCTACAATTCGGAATAGGCTTTTTGAAGAGAGTGTGGAAACCGATTGTTCTCTCTAGTCCTTGCCAATCTAACTTTAATTGGGGGCTTTATGAGGTTAAAAATATTGCAGAAGAACCTTTGTTTCATCATTCATTGGCTGCTTTGAAATCGAAGGAGTGACCTTGTGTGGTTTTCAATTTTTCTAAAAGTATATAGACTTGTACAGCTGCAGGCTTTTAAAAATTGTGCTCTGTCATTTTTCCAATTAGTGTTAAGGTCACAAAAATTCAATTCCAAAATGGTACAAGCATTTTCTTTTCCCCCCCTTTATCAGATACAATTCATTAGTTCAGTCCCAGGCCAGGGAGCTCTCCCTTCAACGGCAGCAGATTAAGGATAGCCATGGCATCTGTGTCATTTATCGTCAACACATGAACACCATGATTAAGGCATTCGAGGAGTTGCTTCAGGCCAGCGATGTGGATTACTACGTGGCCGAGGGTTTCCAGGAGCAACTGAATCAGTGCGCTGAGCTGCTTGAGAAATTGGAAAAGCTGTTTCTCAACGGTAAGTGGGGTGAAGTGCTTCAAGTCCTAAGACACATGGGTCATTGATCCAGGACTTCTTGGGGGGCCGGGAGGAGCTGACTCCTTGGCCCTACTTCCTTCCGCCCTCTGCTCTGAGGAGGTGACGGCAGAGGAAGACGCCTCGCCCCGTGCGTCTTCCTTTCAGTGTCTGTTTCCACGTGGTTGGTGGTCTTCCCTGTTGCAAGCCTGGGGTCCCGTGTAGGTGCCTGAAGGACCAGGCCGGTGAAGCACACGAATGAAGCCAGCCAGGAGCGGCTGCTCCTCAGCACTCACCACAAGGCGGTTGGTTTCTCTGAATTTTCAAGAGAAGATGGAAGTCAGTTTTGGTGTTTTTGGTGGTGGTTGTTTTCGGTAAAAACTCATGAGTTTTAGCTGTTGACAACAACAAAGAAAACAAACAGACAAAAAAACCTAAAACTTTTATTGGTTAAAAAGTACATTCAAGGGTCAGAGGTGGTCAGAGGAAGGATGGAAGAAAACCTTTGCTAACCATTTGCTATATGCAAGGTACTTTAATGAGTATTATCGCATTAAAAATGGTTGTTTTTTTTGTTTTTTTTTTTTTAAATAATTTGTCATTTTTCAAGACTACAACAAAACCCTTCATGCATCTTTGTCAGTTCTGGGGTAGTGCACCTGTTGTCTTTCACGACACTGACATTTGAAGAGTTGGGGCCAGTCTCTCGATTTGGGATTGTCCGTGTTTTCCTCATGGTTAGGTCAGATGAGTTATGGGGTTTGGGCAGGTATACCACTACATAAATGATGTTGTGTTCTCATGGTATCACTTTACGCAGGTGCACAATATCAGTTTGTCCCATTTTTGGTGATATTAACTTTGATCGCTTGGTTTAGGTGACGTCTGTCAGGTTTCTCCGTTGTGAATTACAGTATTTCCCTGTGTAATGTAAACGCAGTTAATGGGAGATACTTTTAACTCTGTAAATATCTCAGTCCTCTTTAAAGTTCTGCCTACGAGTTTTACCATCTGTTGATGGTTCTTGCCTTAGTCAGCTATTACTGTGACCGTGGCAACATGGTGATTATTTTTCTAATGTCATTTCTTCTTCATTTGTTGTTAGGTGACATCTGCTGTAAGGATGAATTCTCCCTTTACCTCCTTTTATTTATGTATTTGTTGTTCGTTTATTGTCAGTGTTGATTTGAAGATTCTTCTTTTATTCAGCTGACTGTTTATTGTCCATTCTGTCATTCATATTGCTCAGATTGTCCAGAATAAGCAGGCGGCAGTTCCTTTTGTCATGTCTCCCTCTTTTTTTGAGCGGAGGGAAGGGTACTTCCTTACTTTCTGGCACAGAAAAGGATATTCAGGCTCATTTTATATAGTCCTGCCCCTGAATCAATCATTTCTCTAAGTAGCCCTCATTCATTTAAAAAGAGAATGCCATTTAAAAACCAAGAGTTGGTGCTGGATGTGTTCATTGCTGTAAAAATCACATGGTACCTTCGGTTCCTATGCAAACCCGCTGTGTTTTTTCTTGCTTTTCCTTCTTCTGTATTTGTGTTCCTTTGAGAACCCTGGCTCACAACATCAGCGTATCTGCTCATTTGCTTAATTCTGTAATGCACACAGATAGTTCCAGAATCGCTCTGCCCATCCATACCACTGCGAAAAACAAACCTAAAGAAGTTCAAGATTTGTTTACAGTTCTTTTTGTTTCTAGGCTAAGAGTATTTACTCAGGCATTGAATTTAGTTGTTTGGTTTCATTCTTTCTGCAGTTTTGTTATGTTATTCATTCGAAATATAATTAGGGTTTTTTGTTTGTTTCAGTTTGTATTTGATTTTAGGGTCCCCTCATCCTTACTGATTTAACTTCGTTTTATTTTATTTATTTATTTAGTTTTAATTAATTAGTTAATTTTTTTTTATGGTGACATTGGTTAACAAACTACGGTTAAGTTTCAGCTGTACATTTTAACAGTAAGGTGCATATATATTTACATTGTGTGTTCACCTCCCATAGTTAGATTTCTTTCTGTCACCACATATTTGACCACTTTTACCCCATCTACCTCCTCCCTTCCTCCTCCCCCTTACCCTGTGGTAACTACTAGTCTATTGTCCATGTCCACGATCATTTTATTTTTTGAATATGGAAAACGTTAAGGCAGTTCCGAAGGATAAACTTTTATCCTTTTAAATTGCCTCTATGAAGTCATTATTTTTGTCTCTCTACTTTATATCCATTAATATTACTTTCTAGTCTTCCTTTCTCTCTTAAACACACTGGGGATAGCCCAGCCTCTCCACTGAAATGGCATTTGCCAGAGTCACTAACAGCTTCTACTCTGGTAGACTCAGTGATCAGTGTTCAGACTGCATTTTACTCAAACCCACAGCCATTTTGGGATGCGAGAGTCTGTTTTCCTCCCACTCCCTGCGCCCGGCCCCAGCGGCCCCTACGAAGTTCTCTCTTCAGTGTGTGCTCCAAGTCTGACCTGCCTTTCCTGCCTCACTGCTGCCTGGGCTCCGCTTTGCCGCCGTCACCTCCCTGGCTTATGGCCGTCCTCTCCCAGGCCCTGGCCCACTACTGCTCATTGCCACACAGTAGTCAGAGTGATCTTTTCAGAACCTGAGGCAGGTCATGTCCCTTCTCCTCTCCAGATCAAAGGTTTTCCCTTGTGAGGTTAAGGGTTAAACAATCGGCGTGACGCCTTGGCTCAGTGCCCCTGCACGGACGGCCCTTAGCCCTGAGTGCTGACTAGTGTCTGTCCTTGTGAGTTGGGCTCAGTCCTCAGAACAGCCCGGGCTACCCGAGGAGCAGCCTTAGCAGAGGAATGTCAGTTGCTCAAAGTCACAAGGATTCGACCTTCGCTCTTCTTCTCATGCGTACAGTACAGATGGTTCACGAGGGGCCACGTATGCTCCATTTAATCCCATGGTAGAACATCGGGTCGTTTGGCCTCTGGGTGTGGGAAATGGTTTTCCTGGTGTTGTAAAGAGCCCACAGCTAGGTCTTTCGCAGACCGGTTTCCTAGGCCCAGGCCTGCGTGGCCTTTGCGGGCCAGGACGTCAGAGCACTTGACTTTTCCCAGCTTTATAAATCTGCTCTCTTCCGGCTCGAGTTTTCCAAATAAGCTAGTTTTCATTTTGTTATTGGAGAAATAACAGAGTCCTCACGGTAGAGCTGCATCTTCCAGGCCTGAGGCATTTTCCATCTGTCTCTTTTCTTCCTGCAAGCCCTCAACCTGGGCCCTAGGAAGTGGCGGCTGAGAGGCAGCGCCTCTGGCACCAGCTGCCCTCCCCGCATTCAGCCACCCCCCACCCCTGATTTATTTTTTCGTTATTTACCTCGACAAGCCCAAGGAGATCTCACTTTTTGTCTCCTGCAAAGCAGAAGTGTTTCAGGCTTGGCAGACAACGTAAACGTAGAACGTTATTTTCTTCTCCAAAAGGCATTAACGTCTCAGGAACCTCACTGCAGCTCTTTTTCTTGGAGAATAAAATGAAACCGTGGTGGGTCTTTCTTGGATGCTATCTAAGGGGTCTGGCTCCTGAATTATGAAATGAGCTGATCACAATGTAGTTTTATATTTGAGGCAGTTGCATAGCATGAGTTCTTAAAAAATTCAAATATAGTCTTTTTTATTAATACAAAGCAGTACATGTTTATTGTGGAATAACAGATAAGCAAATACTCCTATAATTGCATCATTTATATAGCAAAACATGAATACCCTGGAGTTTATATTTCCAGACTTTTTTTTTATACATATTTGTAGAACTATTTTTTATACGTATTTGTAGAAGTAGGACTGTTTGCAATCTCTTTCTTTTGTTCAATTATAGATAATAAACATTAGTCTACATTGTTGGTTTTACTAGCTGCAGAGCATTCTTTCGTATGAATGTACCATCATTTATTTAATCATTCCCCATTAGATGGACATTTAGGCTTTCGGTTTGGGGTTGTTATAATGAACACTGTATTGGAGTCTTTGTTCATATCCTTGCTGTTTCTTTGTTCATATTTAATTGGTAGAACCCAAGAAGTGGGATGATAGTGTGGTTTTCTAATGCTTGTAAGGATGAGCTTAGGATTCTTCCCTAGCTCCGTAGGCTAGGGATAGGGGTCTGGAACCCTGCAAGATTTTGTGAGTATGTGCCTTTTTCTGGGGTGAGGGTCTAAAACTTAGATTCTCAAAGCAGGTTAAGGCCCGAAATAGATCAAGAACTGGGGTTGCAGTCCCAGGTTTCCCACCACATCCTCGTACCTCCCAAGACAGTCGCAGAAAACAGGAAGGCGGTGTTTTGTGTTCAGGTGTTTTTGAGTAAGCAGTGGGGAAGGTACGGAGAAGACCGTGAGACAGTCCCTTTCCTCACTGTGCTCGCCACGCGTGCCAGGATCTGCCCCGTGCATAGAAGACAGCTGCTGGGGGCCCTTGCCTTGGCTCTCCTTTGCCGACAGGGATGAGCCTGACACATTCGTTTCTCTGAAGGCTTTCCACAGTCTGCCCACTAACCCCTAAAATGATGACGACGATGATGATGGAGAAGCAGTGAGGAAGGCTGCTCTCTGCTATATGCCAATTATTGCTCTCAGTCTAGGGAGTGGTACTATTTTTCTTCATTTAATAAATGAGGAAGAGAGGTTGATTTACTTGCTCAGGGTCCCACAGGAAGTGGCAGAGGCTGGATTTGAGCCCAGGCAGTTTGCTTCCACAGCCTCACCTCCTGACTGCCATGATGTCATGCATCTCACACTCCTATCAGATTGGGTGTCCTGGTCAACCATTCCTGTGGGCCAGGCCTTGCATTTCCTTACTCCTGTGACTACGTTCAAACTAGTCCCTTTTCTCGAGGGCTTTTATTCCCCCTCCCTTTCCAGAAGTTCTGCCCATCCTCCGGGGAGTTTTCTTTGTTCGACCCAAGTAAAAGCAAATTTGTTCCTTTTCTTTACTTCTGAGTTGTTCGCAGCTTGCATGTGACAGTCACGACTAGCCTTGTGAGAGAGGCCACCTATTGGGGTGGAAAGAATAGCACCTTTGGAGCTGAGCGGAGCTGAGTTCAAATCCCAGCATTATGGTTAGGGGTCAGATTTCCTCTCTGAAGTTATAGCACCTGTCTTGCAGAGTTATTTGTGAGGATTAAGTGAGATTATTTAAAGTGTCTGCCTGGCCAGTCGTGGGAGTTCAGGAGGTGACAGCAATGATTTCTCGTGGGTGTATTTTATTTCCTCAGAGCATAAGCTGCTGGAACATGAGGGCCTTATCCTGTCCATCCTAGGGAGGGGCTGGACATGTAGTGCCCAGTCAGGATATGGTGACAGTGCTGATAGTTTTACGTGGTATGGACCTCATTCTAGGGCACCTTTGATCTAGTGTCCTCTGACTCTGTGTCTGATGCACACAGTGTGAGCCTGGCGGGAGGCACCTCTGGGCTGTGAAGGGAGAGCCTCCAGAAGGAAGGGGTGTTGGAGCTTGACTTTCATCATGGAAGGACTCATAGTTGTTGGGGAAGAGTATTTTAGACGCGGAGTGGGGGATACAGGTTAGGGTTTGTGTAGCGAGCCAGGCTGTCAGAGAGAATGGCGGATTTTCCTCCTACGGGGTGGATCAGCGCAGAGAGGAAACCGAATGCGGGGCCAACCAGCCGCAAGTCTGTCCTGCTTAATAATCCTCTCACTTGTTCAAATGCGAATTGGAAAACTAGTTGTCTTTTTACTTGGAAAGATGAAGTCCCCCCACTGCCGCTCAGCTTTTAGGTATAGCAATAAGAAATGCCTGAGAGGTGGGAGCAGTGTTTTTCTGACACCCATCCTAAGCTTTTGGAATAGCCTGACAGATGTTGCCCTGTCACCTATGTGCAGGCAGTTTCCACCAAGAAATTCAGTGCATCAGTTGTAACGATCTCCCTGTGAATCCCACAATGATAGTTTGCCATTTTGTTTCAAAGAACTCTGTCGAGGTAGGGGAACGCGTGGAATACAATTGTTGTCATTACAAGCTCCCCAAAGGATCTCTTATTTGAAGAAGAGGAAACCCATGCTGCTGGTGGCATCCGGGCACTTTCTTCTCTGGTCCTGGAGAGGTTTTTGATGGATCGAAGATGCGTTTATGAATGCTTAAAGCCCAGCCCAGACCGAGGGCCCCCTGCCCTGGGAAGTCGCTGGGGAGTTTGTCTGTCTCCCAAAGAGCAGCGGTGAAGTGTAAGACAGGAGTCACCGTGTGCCTGGCTGGCGTGCGGAGGACACCTCAGCCCTTTGGAAGGCTGGGCTGGGGCAGACGGCCACCCTCAGGGTCTGTAGGGCCAACATCTTACCGTCCGCTGAATGGTCGTCAGCAGCCCTCGGCTCGTGCAGGTGGGAGGTGAAAAATGCTGATGGAGTTGTTCTTTCCGTGCTCAGTCGGCCCTGCCCGTTCTGGTGGTTTGCAGCCTGGGATTTCAGTCATGGTGTGAGAATGTGACCCAGCCACATATAGCTTCCCCGCTTGAGGAGGAATGTAGGATGGAGAGGTGGATCCCCTGAGAGCATTCACTATGGTAGAGCCTGTCAACTTCTTCCTACCTTTCAGGGAGTCAAAACGTTATGCCCTTTGGGGTCAGCATGTAGCCCAGAAGATGAAGACAGATTGTGGCTGAGCTGGCTATAGGAGCATCTCCATGGCCCTTAGTAATCTGGAACCTGCGGTAAAGTAGGTGAGAGTGTGCATCGGGCAGAGTGAGGGAGTGGGAACGTTAAACCTCCTGGATTTCTGTTTCTTATTAAATGGAGATACCAATGCTGGGCCGGTGGGATTGTGGTGAGGCCTAAAGGAGATGGTGGGTATTTTGGAACCATCTGAGGGCCTGGCCCCTGGTGGCCCCGGCCTGTCTGACTCATTCGCGGTGCCCAACAGCGCCCTGCAGTGGTGGGTGGCTTTTACGCACTCGGCTCGTCGCACTGACCTGGTGCTCTTGGCTGGCCTGTGGGGTGGTGAGGGAGCCTGACAGCAGCCACAGCCCGCCTCGTGCATCCAGGGGGACAGCCACAAGACGTAAAGCAGATGTGCGAGTCTCCAGTGATCTTTTCCTGTGCGTTGTGGTGTGTGAGAACTGTTCCTTTTAGGAAGTAGTTTTGAAAATGGTATGTGTGGGTGTAGTTTAATTATAGTCTCGTTTTTCAAGTACAGCTATAGAAGGGTTTGTTTTTTTTTCTTTTAGCCACATGTTAGTTTCTTCAAAGAGCTCATCCCAGTTTGCAATTTCCAGAGTTCTGAAGTATTTTTAAAATAAAGTTGTTAGTCTCTTTGAAATCTGGGCTCCCTTCAAACGGCAAATGATGACATGCAGGAAAGAGAAGAGCTTCTTCTGCCCAGCCATGTTTTATTTTTCCTTTTGTCATTTCTTTTAGTCAGCCGCGCTTATATACTCCTTCTCCTAGGAATCCCTCTTCTGAGAGTCTTTCCTAAGCAAAGAATTTAAATGCAGATGCAGCTGTATGCACAAAGATGTTTATTTCGTTTATTTTTATAAAAGTGAAACATTGGAGATGACCAAAAAGTCAAAGTGGGACTGGCCAAACCGTGGCGCGTGCATGGCTACAATGGAATATTAACGTGGTCATTAAAAATGATGTTTCCAGAGCAGGTTTAGTAGAGAAATGCTTATAATGAAGTACCAAGTGAAAAATTAAGTCACAGTATGGTATCACCCGTGCCAAGATGCATGAAGGAAAGGAAGGAAGTCTGGCGCTGTGTCTGTGGTGGGTACCTGGAGGGTGACGACCTTCTTTTACCTGATTCTTTACCCATTTCCTGTAATGAGCATGTGTTCTGTCAGCACCAGAGTTTTGGAGAAGGAGAAAGAGCGTGCACCCAGCAGCGGCTCTGTGACCGCCTTTTAGATTTCAGTGCTGTCACCTTCCTCCGAGAGCCAGGGCCAGAGCGGTGACGAGGACGAGTCCGCAGTCTGAATGAACCGTGTTCTTGGTAATCCCACTTTAAATATCCAGGATTGTTACAAAGCGCGTTTAAACAAATGGAATAGTGTCTCTGCAAATGTATGAGCAGGAAATTATTAGAGAACACTTTTTTAAAAAATATTTTCCTCCTTCTTAATGTTATTTCTGCTTCCAGGAAAATCAGCTGGAGTGGGAATGAGTGCCCAGGATGAACCGGTGGAGAGGTGAGTGTGGAGCACGCCGCACGAAGACTGGCTGGTCTGCCGGCTTTTTGAGCGTTCCAGCTCCCTCCCACCCTGTTAGCTTCCTGCTGCTCGGAAATAAAGCATAAACCCTCACGAAGCTGAGAGTGGCCACGCCGAACCAAAGGTTCATGCCATCTTTCCTGCCGCCTTCATTCAGTCATTTTAGGTTACTCGTGGCATTTCTCTGTCAGGTGATTTGACCCAGATGACACATCCCTTCTGTTGGCACCTGTACCTGCAGAATAAATTCCAGACTCTTTAGCCCGACATTTGAGACCCTTCTCGGTCTGACCCATCTTTCCTTTCCATCCTGTACCCTAGTGGTCCCCAACCTTTTGTTGGCACCAGGGACCGGTGCTCCTATGAGAACCTAAGGCCCGGCGATCTGAGGTGGACCTGAGGTGGTGATGCCGGTGCTGGGGAGCAGCTGCAGATACAGATGAAGCTTCGCTCACTCCCCCGCTGCTCACCTCCTGCTGTGTGGCCCAGTTCCTTACAGGCCATGGACCGGTACCAGTTCACAGCCCAGGGTTTGGGGACCCCAGTGTGCCCTGTGCTCCCGTCTTATCTGACTGTCGCTGTTTAGACCATGCCTTTGCGCAGCCGCACACTCTGCCTTCTTCTCCTTGTCGTTGGAAAATCTTTCTCAGTGTCGTTTAACATGGAGGTGAGCCTGGCTCTCTGACGCTCCCATCTCTGCTACATCCCAGGATTGCACACTCTGCCTTCTTCCCCTTGTCGTTGGAAAATCTTTCTTAGTGTCGTTTAACATGGAGATGAGCCTGGCTCTCTCTGACGCTCCCATCTCTGCTACATCCCAGGATCAGTTACTCTTCCTGGAGCACTTGACACATAGTTACATTGCAGCACTTACCACAGGGCACGGTGATACTTTCTGCATTTCTCTTTCCACTCCCAGAACTCCTCGAAAGGGGAAAGGATCTAGCGTTAACCGGGTGTTGGTGTGCGTTGGCCGCTGCCCTGGGCATTCACGTTCATTATTTCTGACCCTACCGGGTCAGCGTTATTGTTCCCATTTTAGGATGAGGAGCCTGAAGGTCAGAGTTGCATACTTGCCATTAAGAGGCAGAGCTGGGATTTGAACTTGAATATGTTGTACTCCAAGGCCTGGGCTGTTGTTGTTATTCCACGTTGCTTTTTGAGGGCAAAGAGTATGTTTTTAATACCTTTATACCTGCTCTAGCCCCGAGTATCTGGCATGTAGTTGGAATTCAGAAAATGTTCATGGAATAAGGAGATCGTATACTCTCTTAGCTTAAGGGCATGGCCAACTGGCAATGTCAAGGTCTCGCCCTCCTCTGTTTACTTGTTAAAGGTTTTAAATGCTATTAGTGCTATGGTCACTTCCCTCCTCTTTGGAACTATAGCCCTTTGGGCTCCTGGAGGTAAAATAAAGAAATAGAGACCAATCTGGGGTATAGAATTTTAGTTTTTATTGCATCATGAAGGCCATGAGCATCATTCGAGCGAGCAGGCAGGGAGGTAATCACAGCTCACTGGAGGACATTTAACCAGGGCTTTGTAAATTTAGAAGAAATACTCCTTTCCCACTGCAGTATGTTCAAAGATCCCTCCCAGTCCAGCCCTCTACTTCCATCCTCACAATAACATCACATGCCGTCGAAGGCTGTGGAGGCCTCCCAGAATGGAGACAGTCTCAGCTGAGATCTAAAGGAGAGTTGAGGGCTGGGGGTTGTTTGGGAGAGTGTCCATGGCCCCTTTGAGCCGTGTGGCTGGCACATGAAATGTGAGGGTCAAGGCTGGAGAGACAGGCAGGGTCATACTGGGCTGGTCCTCAAATACTATGTTAAATTCTGCCGTGTGAGAAGAGGAGAGTGTTCAGGGACTAGACTTGCCATTTTGAAAGACTGTCATGGTTCTTGGAGGATGGGCTGGAGGGAGGCAGGGAGCCTCTTTCAGCCCTCCTCAACCATGTGTCACCCTTTCCATTTCTGACAGGTTTGTTTCTTTCCTTCTGTTCTTTTTTTCAGCTGTAGGCTTAGCACTCACATGGGTCACTCCTAAGCTAATTAAACGGGTGCCCTTGGCCCATTCCGCACTTTGCAAGGCAGCAGCAAGCCCAGGCATCCATCACGCTGTCTGCGCAGAGTTGCATCTTGTGTTTACCTGTTAATGGATACGTTGCAGCTTCGGAGTCCTTTGCTCTCGTCTGAGCTTATGAATAATGAGACGAGAAGCAATAGGAAAAAGTGGGAGAAAAAAAGAGCTTTAAATTAAGGAACTTATCTATAATGGAGAGTCACATGGGTTTTTCACAGAGTTCCAGGAGTTTTTACTCATCGCTTAGGTGGCCCTTGGGAAATTACCGGTTAATGACCAGATGATTGCCAGAATGGTGATTTTGGGACCTACTTGAGGACCACAAGGATTTCGAGAGTTTTAAACCCATGAGGCCCCTTCATGGATTTGGGCCGGCCTTCCACTTCTCCTGGGGCCCTGAAGGCAGAGCTCCACCACTTCAGTAAAGCTGTGATGCAGGGGATGAGTTTATGATGAGCCTCAGTCTTTCCAGTGCTAAGTGAGGATCATACTCCCTACTTCAGAGGGTTTCTCTGAGGACCAAGTCAGACAGCACATCTAAAATGCCTCGCACGGCGCTGGCGTTTGGCGAACGGTTGCTGTTGACTGACGTCCTCACTTGTCTCTCCCATAAGCGTCCCTTTCTTCGTTGGCTCCTGTCTCAAGCCCACTGAGTACGTTTTGTTTTTAGAATATCCTTGCTAAAAATGCCCTAGGAAAATAAAAGCACTCTAAAACATTACGAAGATGGGGGAAATTACAGAGAGCCTAGTAATCGTAAGTTATGGTCCGGGTTTGGGATCTTAGCGTGGAAAGTGATTTCTCTTTCATTCCCAATGGTCAAGGACTGAGGACGACAACTTGACCTACAAACACATTCTACCCGAGTCTCCTGAGCCTTCAGCCTCTCATGCCTTGTCCGATTGTGAAATATCCGAAAAGTCCTCCTCACAAGACCAGAAGCAGGACAGCGAGATGGAGAAGACTTCAGTTATAGCGAACAATTTTTCTCAAGGTAAGTTAAGCCTTACGAAGCATTTTAAACATAGCCAAGGTTTCCTGGTTTAAACAACAATTTATCATCTTGCCTTAGTAAGCAGAGTGTAGTGACATTTGAATATTTCTCTGATGAAAAGAGGTCCTGTGAGGGCCAAAGCTGGTTATTAAGAGTATCATTTATTACCGGGGGAAGCTACGATTGTTGAAAGTGTGGTGATGGGGGCAAAGTCATTTTTATTTTTTAAATGGTGACTTATTGCATGACTTGCCATTTCCTTGCTCTCGAACAGTGGCACGCTGGAAAGCACCGAGGTTATGTGTCAGTTCCAAGTCTGGTTAATTTCCTTTGTTTCTTTCAAACTCTTCCCAAGGCAGGTTCACTTGGGAGACTCTTCTGCTTTGAATTGTACAGATGCCTGGAGTCCTTAACCCCTGTTTGAACGTTTTGTAATTCTCTACGTCTGCTCTGTTTCTCTTTTGTGTAACTCTCGGCGCTCTGGGTCAGCCCCTTGTCCTGCCTCTGACGTGGAGCCATGGGCTGAGTTGGTAGAATCAGCCCCCAAGGCCCCGCCTGCCCCTAAGCTCTCCTTCACCGCCTCTGTTTCTGCAGCCTTGATCACTTCCTCTTGGGGTATTAGGTAGGGCTTAGTGTTTATAATTCAACATATTTCAGAAGTTCAAGGAATGTATACCCCAGAACAGATAGACCAGGGATCGGTACTCTTTTCCTGTAAAAGGCCAGATAGTAAATATTTTAGGCTTTGTGGAGCATATGGTCTTTGTTACCATTACTCGATCCTGCTGTTGCCGCAAAAAGCAGCCATAGACAATATGCACATGAATGTTGTGGCTGAGTTCCCGTAAGACTTTATTTACTAAAACAGGTGGTGGGTGGATTTGACCCAGGGACCATAGGTTTCTGACCCCTGATACAGACTCTGGACCTCAACTGACATCATTTGGTCTCTCCTTTCTTCTGGTGAGTTGTTTGCACAAATCGGACACTGGCACCTTTTCGCTAAAGTTCTTTGTTGGCACCTGATCACATAGAACAGTGGTTTTCAAAAATTTTTTATCTTTTTTTTTTTTTTTATCGACAGAACATCTCTCTCCCTTTTTTTTCAGATGAATCTTTGCATGGAAGCCCAATATGTAAAACAGATAAGAGTGGAGCCTTTGTCCCCTGTGGTGGCCTCACAGCCTCCTTAGGACACTCAGGGCACAGAGAAACTCAGTTTGAAAACATACCTAGAGCGCGAAGTGTACATGTCTGATGTAACTCAGGTATCAGCTGGGGTCTTCAGAAACCAATTGCCTCAATTTGCTTTCTTTGGATTTCTGGCTGTATCCCTCTCCAATTTCTGTGAGTTTCTGTGTACAGTTGGCCTTCTCCTAATTTAGGTCAGATCATGAATTGTTTCCCTGTCCCTATTGCCACCCCTTGCACTGTGTCGGTGTGACATGGAACTCAGTCCCTTTCCAAGAACCCCCGAGACCATTCCTACAGGCCTCTGTGGGAGGAGCAGACTTGGTTGCGGGTGTGAGGAACTGGAGGGGCTGGGGTCACCATGCAGCAAGCCAGCTCTTTTACATGGGAATATTAGAGGTCCCTGTTCTTTAGAGACCCCCTGCTGTTTTTCCCTCTTGCCTGCCCCTCTGTTTTCTGGCCTCCACCCTGCCTGCCCTCCTAAGCTTGGTTTAATTCCGGTGTAGAACCATTCAGGCATCTTTTATTTCTGATTCCTCTGGGGACCCATGACGTGGGGCGCAACATGCTCTCCTAGTGGGTTACGGGGTGCTTTCCTGAGTGGGGTTCGTGCTCATTGGAGCCATCTTAGTAACCCCGCTGTTAGCTTCCTTGTTTTCTTTGTCTTCAGACATTCAGTCTCTGCATCTGTTTTTCCTTTTGTCATATTTATAACCTGAATAGAGAGAGAATTTCGTGTGTCTTTTTTACTTACCATTATATCATATGCTTTCTGATACGTTACATAACATCATTCCCAGTGGCTTTAGAATAGTCTGTGGAGATGGCCGAACACAGTTTTCGTACGTTCCTCCGGTGCTGAACATTTAAGTCATTTTTAAAATTTCACAATTGTGATCATTGCTGCAGGGAATATCTTTGAACGTGAAGCTTTCCTGTTATTTTGGGGGCAGTTCTTAACCTAGATTCTATAAATTGCAATGCCTAGGCAAAAGAGGCACTTACTGTTTTCTGGTAGATGCTTCTTAACGGGATTTACGATTTTAAAGAGGTGGCATTTGTCAGAAGGGTATTATTGTAAGAGGGACAGGTATTTTTCTCTCACTTCGTAAAGGCGAATATAGGGTTTCCTTCTCTTTGGCGAGGGCTGCATAATTAATAAGTGGTGTCCAGTTCGATCGGGAATGTTTCCTTAAGCCCAAGGGATGATTCCAGCTCCCGGCCAGACTCAATAGAAGATGACTCGTACCAGAAACTGGCAGTGTGTGATGTGGATCAACCAGCAAGGAAAGCTGCAGTCAGAACAGATAAGTTCCTGACTCCCTCCGACCTGACTAGCCACTGGAAGATTTGCATGGCTACGGGGCAGGGCCGGCAGGTGTGGTGCCAGGATGTGCCAGGAGTTCCTTGCAAACAGGGTGCTTCAGTGCTGGGCTGCAGCGAGGGCCTCAGACGTTCCCGCAAATGGCTTGCCACACTTCTGGCATTAATAGGAGATAGCCGAGGGTTTGGGAATTAAGTCATCTCATAAACATTCAAATTCATGGCGAAATTACTATTTAATTAGGAAAAGATCTGTAATATTGTGCCACTTGTAAATGAAAGTCATTTTGGAGGAATTAAAACCGAGTCATAACATTAGTAGAATGTTTTAAAACAAACATTACTAAGACATACCGAGTATACCCTAATTAATGAATTAAAGACATAGTTTTGCCTTTGGATACTTAATGTGATTATGCTTTAAACACTGATTCTAGAAACCTACCTCTAGATTGGAACTATGCTGCTTGCTTTCTTTATAAAATTGAGGTGTGGCCGAGGCTAAAAAAAATATATATATATTTGCTCATTTTAGAAAATTTGGAAATTCAAATTTTTTGTGTATTATTAAATATAATTTTAAGATGTAATGCAGTAGTTTTTTAAAGCCTAAAATCTACACCCAAAGGCAACCTCTGGTAATACTCAGGTTTGTTTCCTTGTTTTGCGTATGTCTTTCCTGTCAGCGAGTTTTGAAATAGAGTTGTGATTATGTCGCTAAGCTCTTTTGTATCTCTGTTTTTCCATGTTATTTATAGAGTCTTCATAATATAATTTTAGTAGCTGTATAATACTACATCATAATGGATGTAATATGACTTATTTAATAATTTATTTTCAGTTCTTACTGTTATATGTAGTGCCAACACGAACATTTTTATGCATTCTGTCAAATGGTTGTTAGCATCTCTGGTGATCGCTAAATTCCTGTAAGTAGAGTTATTTGGTAAAAGACGTTAAAAAGAACCTTTCTAAGTCTAATGATAAAAATAGTCCCAAAAAGTCACATACATTTATACTCACGCTGAGAGGATATATTCTCGAGAGTACTTTTCTTGCTATTCTCACTAGCTTGAGATTATTGTTTTATTTTGTTTTTAAGTCTTAAATTAGCAAGTGATAGATGAAAGGAAACATATTCCTTTCAAAGAATTAGTCTTGAAAATATCTAGATTCATAATGAAGGAAGTTTAATCAACTCTCAGGCAATTCAGGCAGATTCGAAAGTGATCTGTCAGTTTCACCATAAGGAAGGTTTTAATATTTGATATTTAGAAGAATAAAGGGCTGCATTAGAGTTGGCATTAAAGTCGTATGGAATATAATTTTTCCACGTGATGTAAAACACCTTCTTCGTGGAGGGCTGTGGAGAATCACTCCAGAACTGTGTCTGTGTGCCGTGGGCAATAGCTCAGCCTCTTCGTGCCTGGGAAAGAATTGTCAGTTGCGGACTGTCTTAATACATCCAGTACTGTTGGATTGTCAAGATCACTGCCTAATCTAGAAATTATTCCCTTTGTCGGGGGCTTCAGACTTTAAAAATTTCCTCCTTCCTATAGACCTACTAATGGAACATCTACAAGAAATTCGAAGTTTGCGAAGACGTTTAGAAGACTCTATTAAGACAAATGAACAGCTGCGGAGACAGCTGGAACGACAGGAGTCTGAGTTTGATCCAGGTGAGGGGGCCCTTCCCACGGGCCGTGTGGGCCCCTGAGCGCTCCACTTGCCATGCATTTGCCCATTCTGTGCATTGGGAAGAGCTTCAGACTTGTGGCCAGAGACACTTCAGTTCAAATCCTGACTTCGCCGTTTTCCTCTAGGGTGACCTCATTTAACCTTGCAGACTCTTAGTTCTAGTAATTTAGCTATAAAATGGGGATAATAATTTCCATTTATCCTGTCGTGATGAGAATTATGTGAGCTACTTGACGTGGTACACCCTGTCACAAAGCAGGTACTTTCCAGGCGTTGGAGAAATCTGCCAGCCTCTGACATCGCGAATTGGGTTGACTTGTGGTTTGCCTTTAGAAGCTGTGGAGACATAGATAGGTATTTTAAAATAAAACAAAGCAATATTTTGTCTTTGTGTTAATAATAGATTATAAAAATATTAGCATCGTAACAGTCTGGTAAACCTCAACATGCCAATCAAAAGATCACCAGTATTCCTGCATAGCCACAGGTAGCTCTGAATGGAATGTTGTTTCATGAAGAATTTTATTTTTCATAGGTAAGATAGTCACATGGTTCAAAAATTAATATCTCCATCCCATACCCATTAATCCTCTTCTCCCGTCTCTTCCCACTTTTGTTTGTTCCTTCTGTATCCTTAAACAGTGTTTTTAAAATGTAAATACAAATATGTATTCTCATTCCCTCTCTCACTTATGTCAGAGGTAGAATACTTTCTATCACTATTCTGTCCCTTGTTTTTCATTGAACAATACATTTTGGACACCTTTTCTTATTTCTCCAAAGAAAGTATCTTTATTCTGTGAAGAATGTGTCTTGAGAGCAGCTCTGTGTGCTACGAAAAGCCTGAGACTGTTTGGGATTGGACCACCTAGGTGTGGATCCCAATTCTTCTGTTTATAGCTTTGTGACTTTGAGCAAGTCCCCCCACCTCTCCCAATCTTAATTATAAGAGTCATTGTAAGATTAAACGAGGCAATGTTACGAATGGGGCCTTGCTGGGTGCTCCACTCAACAAATGGTTGTTTCGTCATTATCAATTTTATTTTACTATTTTGCTTCGCATAACATTCCTAGTTTAACTTCGCAAAGCTCTGCAAAGGGCAGGATGCTAATGTCATTCCCATTTTTAGAGATGAGATAACTGAGTCCTGGAAGGATGTCTTTGGTGGCAGCACTCGTGTCTTTGGACCTCCTAGTCCAGTTCTCATTCCTCTCCAGCCCACCATAGCCATCGGCCCAGAAGGACATCTTTCCAAAGTACTGCGCATGCTCCACTTTGGTTCAGAGTGGTTCCCTCACTCTCTCCATCCACCTCCTCCATCCTGCATCTTCCCCTCCTACCCCCAGGGAAGTCGGTTAATCTGAGTTATTAGTCATATCAAACACAGGAAAGAAATACACGCCTGGGCCCTTCACGTTCACTCGTGGTAATGCCTGAATTAGATTCATTCTGTTTTACATTTTCCCTGGCAAATCCAATTATAGAATTATTCGAGGGCTCAAATGGCCACCAGCTATAATGGAGCAGCCAGTTGCTCTGTAGAGTAATTCACTTTGACGGGAAGGTTTACAGAAAGGGATTCAACAAGTATTTAGGCTGCTGGAAAGACATGCTGTCCTTAGCATGTCATCACAGTCTCTGAAAAGACAAAGAAACAGTCGTGGCCCTGCCTGCCCCCTGCCATGAGATGTTCGTCCGGGAGCAGGTTTGAGAGAGACATGCTCCTTGTGGTGTTGAGGTGGAGCGTTGTTAAAAACTGTCATCTCATGGGCCAGGTCTTCCAGCTTGTCACCACTTACATGAGCTTATACTGATGGTGGCCAGAGGAAAAAGACTGGCTTTTCAGCTCAGGCTTTGTCAGGAACTGCTGTTTGGCCTGATTATTCTTTTTGAAAAGTGACCAACTTAGCTGTGGTCATGGTAGACTTCTGTAGAATTTTTCCTGTTTATCCAGATTGCTCTTTGGTCCTGTGTTAGCTCCAGCCTATCATTAGTTATGATATTAATACAAATGGTAATCACAATAATAACGACATCGATCGTTTTCATTGAGCTAATGGAGACCTAGGGAAGTTATGTGATTGGTTAGGTCACGCAGTTAAGAAGCCAGAGCCGTGGTTCAGACGCAGGTATCGCTGAAAAGACCCCGAGAATTCGTAGAGGAGCGTGGAGGAAGGTGGCAGGGAGAGACATGTGTGAATTGAAAAGCCGTAGGACGTTGTGGTAAGTGAATCGTGGGCATGAGAAAAATGTAGTGCTGGAGAATGGAGAGTATGAACTTTGGCTTCTGGGAGAGCTGATGTCATGCCTTACAGGGAGTCTGACTGTTCCAGATAATCACTTGTGTACCAGGATGCTTTCAGCTGCCGCTAACAGAATATGCGTAAAAACTGGTGTAACAGTGGAGATTTATGTTTTCTTACATAACAGGAAATCCAGAGGCAGGCAGTTCTAAGGCAGATTTAATGGTTCAGTGATAGCAGGGCTTGGGGTTAGTGCCTGTGATGACTGCAGTAATTACAAGCATCACTCCCTCTCTGGACAGTGTCTGGATCATGGGAAGGAAGTGGGAAGGGCTTCTCCCTGTCCTTCTCTTTTCATCTGGGTGGGAGATCTTTCTCAGAAGCTCCCAGCAGGCTTCTTTTCAAGTTTCACGGACCAGAGGTAGCTGCGCCAGAAGCTGGGGAAGCAGATATCTGGCATTTTATTCCGTGGTTCAGTCGACAGTCGGTAAGGAAGACGGAGAGAAAGCATCTGCTTGTCACGTGTGGAAGGCGCCTTGCACGCCATAGGGACTCTCCAGGGGGTGCTATGGACATGAGCATTATGTGTAGTACAGAGGTAGAGAACTCGGAGGACGGGGAGTGTCGAGATGGAGTGTCAAGGGAAGCGTCCAGCCAGAGGAAGAGACGGGATTTCAGGAGATGGCCCACAGCGTGGGGAGACATGTAAAGTCTGTCTAGCTTTAGACCCCCTGATCTCCTTAGCAAACACTTAAGAGGCAGAGAATGTGAGCTAAGAGTTGAATCGAGTATGATTTTGACGGGTGAAGAAGGTGGTAGGCAAGGGGAGTAAAGTACCTCATTCTCCAAAGTTGAGGAGATGTGTGACCACCAACCAACGTGGCCCAGTTTGGCTGCATTTGAGGACATGAGGGTCTAGGATGGAGAGGGTGTGGGGTACGCCATGGAATTGGAGCTAAATAATGGCCGTCTGAAGTTTGGACCCTGTGTTTGCTTTATTTGATTGTCTTTTGCAGTGGTGGGCTGTCAGATGTTTTTGAGCAGAGAATTACATGAACGGACCGTATTTCAGATGAAAACCCCATTGGTGGCGTAGCCGGGAGGCAAGGCGATGAAGCCTGAGCCGCAGCGGCAAAAAAGAGTGGGCCGGTGTCCGAGGCGTTTGTGGGAGGCGTCCGCAGTCATGCTTGTCTGACTGGGCAGTAGAGGAGAGAGGTGTTAGGACGGCTTCCAGGTTTCTCACTGGGGTTAGGGACAGTGGCGACACCATCTGTAGGGGCAGAAAACGGGAGAAAGAGCAGGTTTGGAAGAGTGAGGGAAGAAAGAAAGGTGAGGAATTCAGCTTTGGCTTTGTGGGCTGGGACAGGTCTGGCAGGCTGTGGATTACACGGGTTCGGATTTCTGGAGAGAGATCTGTGGAGGGTAGGGCTGTCACTCACCCCCCCACCCAGCGTAGGTCTCCTGCGTCATTCTCCCTTAGGACAGGTAAGGTGCGGGGATCCCCTCTTGCGTCCTATTTCAAGCTCACTCTCATTTCCCTCTGGGCTCTGGTAATACCCTATCTAGTTCACAGGAGTGTTTTCCCTTGTATGTTGTGTGTCCTCATTATTCAAAACTGTTTTCTAGAAAGTTCTATATGACCTGGACACTCTTCATCAATCACTATTTATATGTGTTTTTATAGGTTCTTCAAACATTTTTGCTTACGATTCAGAGCTGCATAATTCTCTGACATCAGAAATTCGTTTCCTGAGGAAGCAGAACCAGGCCCTCAATACAATGCTTGCTAAAGGGTCTAGAGGTGAGAGTCAAAGGTGTCACCCGCAGCCTAGAGCCCCGCAGCCTTCTGTGGCGTGCACTAGAGTCTAACCAACCTGAGCTGGCACTAACGCAGGCACTAGAGTCCGACCAACCTGAGTCGCATCCTGTGGCTCTGACTTTGGGCAGGTCACTTAACCTCTCTCCGAACCTCAGTATTCTTAGCTGTAAGACAGGAATACCCCACAGGGCTGTAGCGACAAACCCTGTGAAGCCCTCAGCATGGCGTCTCTCGTGGGGCCCAGTAAACATTACTTTCTTTACCCGTTACCCATTCCCTCTGTACAGCCACCTCTCATTTGTCTGAATTCTCAGTGGAAGAGAGAAGGAAGGCCTGCAATATATTACTGCCAGACTCTCAACCAGAGATTTCCCACTCTCGGGAAAGTTTTCCAGTATTTCTTAACAAAGATCCCTTCTCTTAATTCCTTCTGTTTGGAGCTTCGCCCCCAAGGAGCTTTCACGTACAAGACCTCTCGACACTTAATGGGCTCCTGGAATGACATGGTATTAGTCCTTTTTGACAGGTGAGAAACTGAGGCCTAGGGGAGTGACCGACCCGTGGTCACAGAGCTGGAAGGTGGTGGAGCTGGCACGTGGGCCAGCTTAGTTCACTTTCCATGGAGGTGTTCGTGCCGACTCTGGGGTGAGAGATGAAATTAAGGCTTCTGCAGATGGTTCGTTCACTCAGCAGAGACTCTGGTTCTGTGTCAGGGCCTGTGTAGATTCCGATACAGAATTGGGCCCCCTTCTGCCAGGGCTCACAGTCTGACGGAAAGGACAGCCAGGCCACCCACCGCAGGCCACTGTGAGGCGTAGCCATGGCGAAGGCGGGCTCAGAGTTGGTTGCAGGACCCTGGAGATGGCATCCTGACCCAGGGAAACTGGTCCTCGGAAGCGGAGTCTAGAGGACAAGTTGGGGTTAATCACGGTGCCTAAGGTTGAGATGGACCAGGAGGGAAGAGCAGACACAGGCTGAGGGCTTAGGGATGGGGCGAGTACAGACCTGTCAGGAATCAGATGATGCTAAGTATGGCTGGAGTCTGAGTGGGGAGGAGAAACTTGCTCAGAAATGATTTGTGTCACGGTTAAGAGGAGAATCAGACAACCTGGGCCCGAATCTTGGCTCTGCCGCTTGTTAGCTGTGTGATCTTGGGGGAGGTCTTAACCTTTTCGTTTCTTATTTTCCTGTCTGGAAAATGGAGAGAATAATAATAGTACCTACCTTGGAGGTTTGCTGTGAAGAGTGAATAGGATGATACATGTCATGTCTGCAGTTAGCTCTGTGGGCCTGTTAGCTGTTACCACCACCAGCGCTGCTGGCAGCCCTCAAAGCGCTTGTAAAGCCCCGTGCTAAGCCCTTTTACACCTACTCACCCCGTTAATCCCCACAATGATACATGAGGAAACCGAGGCACAGGAAAGGGGAGAAACTCGTTCAAGGTTATGGAGTCAGAAAGCGGAAGAGCACGTGAGCACGCCCCACGGCCTCCGAGCGTGCCCTTGACGGCTGCCCCTGTGCCCTGTGTGTATTTATTTCTCGGGAGAGGTGCTGTCCTCAGGGAACGGCCTGGCTGGCCTTGTGGGAGGCTGGCGGACTTTCCCAACACGCGCTGCCAGAGTTTGGAGCTTGTTTCTTGTTTCTGTCTATAATTTCTACCCACTGTTTGCTCTGTGAAGGCAAAGTAGGTTTGCACAGCCCATTATTTAATAGAAAATTAAACAGGCCCATTTCATCCCAGTGACGTTTAATCTGCAGCCTTGATGTTGACAGATTTATCTGCCCAAAATGCATGAGATAATTGGAATGCCAGAATCATAAATGCCAGATTAAATCTCGTTCTCTTTTGTATTCTTGGAGTGCTCGAGCTGAAGTGCCGTATTTGCGTAATAAGGTTGGAAAAAACAAATGGTGTCTCTTCTCAGCCGCGCTTTTCGTGTTTGCAGATAAACAGAAGGAGAATGAAAAATTACGAGAGTCCCTCTCCAGGAAGACTGCGAACCTTGAGCACCTCCAGCAAGAGCTTGCCTGTGTGAAGGGAGAGAAGGACAGGCTGCAGAAGGAGGTGGGCGAGAAGGAGAGGCACAGCCAGCAGCTGCTCCAGGAGCTCTGTGACAGCCACAGCGAGCTGAGCAGGTAGTGGGCGGGTGCAGCCGTGCCCAGGCCGGCGTCCAGGCGCTGGGCTGCCGTGATGAAACAGGGTGTGCCGGGCCCTGCCCTCATGCACAGGCGGGGGTAGGAAGACAGCAACACGCAACACGTAATGGGTCAGGTGGGAATGAAATGCAAGGAGCGAGGTCGTCTGAGTAAGGGGGGTGGGCCTGGGGGGGCGGGTTGCTGTTGCTTTTCCAGGAGGGGCTGGGGGGGACCTCTCTACACGGACCCCATCTGAGCAGTGACCTGAGGCAGTGAGGGTGTGAGCTCTGCAGACACCTGGCGGAGGGTTGTTTTTGGAGGGGACGGTAAGGGCCCCGAGGTGGGGTGTCCTTGGCCTCTGCAGGGCAGAGCAGGGAGGCCAGTGCATCTGGAGGAGAGAGGGCGTGGTGGGGGGTGAGGGCAGAGAGGTGGCTGGAAAAAAACCCGGTCGGTGTACGGACTTTGGTTTTCACTGAGTCACACGGGAAGCCGTTGGGAAGGATTCTGAGTGGAGGAGGAGCATGGGTCTGACTCAGATTTTAAAAGGGTCGTACTGACTGCTCTTGGCAGTTTCCCTGTAGACTCTGTCTCGCCCCACACGTTTCATTGGTCTGTCAGCTCCTGCGAGTGCCCCGGTCTCTTAGTGAGCGACATCACTCTGGGCTCCCCAGGGTGGTGCGCTGACTTGGCCAGGTCATTGTCTTCGCCATCGCAGTCCTGGGCTTCACTTCCTCATAGTCCCGAAGTGAGGGTTAGAGAGCACGCACCTCACAGTGGCTGCGACTGGGGTCCTTAACCACGCGGGCCCCGCTGTCCACACTCCTCTAGCCGAGGGTGGAGTTGGCCTGCGGGAGTGACTGAGTGAGAACTGACCTCTCCTCCCCGTGGTGCTGGGGCCGTTGCAGGGTGCAGGAGGAGGCGGAGTGGAGGCAGCAGCTGCTCTCCCAGAACGACAAGCTGCTCCAGTCCCTCCGAGTGGAGCTGAGGGTGTATGAGAAGCTGGACGAGGAACACAGAACCCTGAGAGGTACTGGGCGCTCCGGTCCACGGCCCCTCTCAGCCTGGGCTCTGTGTCATGGGCTGTCAGCTCACCCGGACTGCGGGGTTAGCACTCTTGCCTGAAATGCTGTCGTCACACCTGTGCTTGCCTCCTGGGTGGAGCAGGTGTATTTTGAAGCAAGCTCTCGGGCTCACCCTTCTTCCGAAGAAGCCGTAGGAACCACGGAAGGGCTTCAGCTCAGGAGTCAGGCCAGCCGGGGTCTGGGTCCTCACCGCCTTGCTTCACGGTGTCTCTGCCTTCGGCAGGTCACCTCACCCCCGGGGCCTGTTTCTTCCTCTATAAAACATGCCTGCTGATAGCTATTGTATAGCGTTGTGAAAGTTAAATGAGATCATTTATTAAAAGAATCCTAGTGCCTGGCACATAGTGGGCACTCAAGAAGTAACTTTTATTATAATTTTATTGCTAGTATGTGTTTCTTTTTGCCCATTCATTCAGCAAATAAGGATGGAGCCATGTACTCCATAGTGGACACTGCTCTGGAGGTTGTCGTTGGCCCTGGTCCCCTCTGTGTCCTCAGAGAGATACCGGATCAGAGCGATCTGACTATATAGACTAATGGTTTAGAATCAATTTTGAGGTGTGGTGGTTTTTTTTTTTTTTAAACTAATTTTCCAGATGGTTTCTCACTATTGAAAGTTTATCTAGAAAAGGTTCACCACCTCACAGCTTTCATTTTCTCCTCAAGTTGCTTTTTCCTATTCTTGCTGTTGTACCTTTTAATATACTGTGGCTCTTAAAATCAGCCCCTTTCATTCTATAATTCCAGCCCAAATAGGTTTTATTACTACTAGACATAATTTCGGGGTTTGGTATGCAATTTGCTAGGCTTTTATGGCCAGAAGCGAAAATTAATTTCCAGCTCTTATTTAGCCTGTGGAATAGCAGCAATTAAGTCTGCCAATATTTTTGTTTTTAAAGTCAAGTCGTTACTTAAATTGTACCTAGTTCTTAGGGAGGGGAGGGCGATGGTGGCGGCGAGGTTAAAACGGCGAGCTCCTTTCTTGGCTGACCCTTCGGTGGCGGAAGATGTCAGGGCTTCCCGTTGCACGTATTTGCAGCTTCCGGAGCAGAGGCGTTGGCAGACGGCTGGCAGGGGCGGGGCGCTCTCGGGGACCTGCACGGCCTCCTGACAGAGGTCCAGGCCCTGCGGGCGCAGCTGGAAAGGAGCATCGAGACCAACTGTGCGCTGCAGAGCAAGCTGGAGGAGCAGCTGGCGAAGGGCGGAAGAAAGGCCCAGGACGCAGCACTCGCCTCGGCTCTCCAGACCCTGCCCACCCCCGAGCGGCCCCTTCGGCTGGACAGACACGGTACTGCTCCCCGCCCCTCCGCACTCAGAGGGTGCAGCCCTGTGCGTCTGTGGGATGTGCGAGCTTCCGAATGGTGCCTTGCTCACGGAGGTGTCTTTCCATCGACAGCAGACATGCTGTACCCTAGGAGCCAAGGGACCTGGCCGCTAATTAGCTGTCACCTTTGGCAAAATGGTGTCATCTCGTTTTGGGGCCTCCTGATTCTCAGAGAAGTGGAGTGTGGGCTCCCAGCCGCCCTCGGGTCTTGCTCCTCCTGTCCATTTAGTCCTGCCCACATCACTCCACTGCCGAAAACCCTTTTCAGTCCCTCTTACTGCTTTCAGAAGAGAATTTAAACCTCTTAGTCTGGCTGACAGTGTTTTTCGGGATCTGAAAAGCATCCTGATAGGTAGGAAAACTGGTTCCTTTTTGCATTTGCTTGTGGGTTTATTGTCTAGCCCTGCAGAGGCCGTTTAGGGTGGCAGAAAGAGGACAAGACTGGGTTCGGTCACCCTTCTGCCACCTGCCCTGCAGAGGGCCTGGAACGAACCAGCACACGGTGAGGCCATCGTCTCTGCTCTGTGAATGAAGGAGCTGAGACTCAGGGTCCTGGACTTGCCCTAAGCGACACAGGTAGTTCGGAGACTGGAGCTAGAAATCGGTTTTCAGCTCCGAGTCCACTGCCGTCCCTGAAGTACCACCTGACCTTCCAGAGTGACCGGAGCCCGGGGGTCGTCATCCTTACGCCCACAGGGTGGCTGTGCACATCCAGTGGGACAAGGAATGTCAGCATGCTTTATAAAGAAGTACCGTATCAAAGTCGGGACTTATCTTTACTTGGATTGGGAATTAAGTCTGTTGCTTTTAATTAAAAATCAAAATTTCTTACACAAGAGTACCCAGTCATTCTGCTTTCAAGCTTGGTTTTTCCTTGATAAGGAATTTAAAATTTTAACCAAAGAGATGACCTGACAACATGAAAGAAAGGTGAAAAAAAAAATCCTTCACGATTCTACAAAATGTTAATTTTTTGCTTTGCATGTTTCTCTTTATTTGGTAACGAAATGTAGGCATATATTGTTCAAGTTGGGTTTTGTGCCATTCTGTGCCCTTTTTTTGTTTTTGCCCAATATTACGTGATAAATGGTTTTCCTTTTTTCACACGGGCTTCTTAATTATTGTTTTCAGATTGTCTGACACCAAACCATTACACTGGTGATTATGAAATTGGTCTCTGATTTGGAGCTTTAGTAAATGTTGATGTTAATATGCTTTTTGCTGTTAAACGGTATTCTTGGATAAAATCCTCTTGTAGAATCTCGAAAGGTTGGAGGGTGCCATTCTGTCACCGTCTGCATGGACTATACGTCCGCGGTGGGCATCACGGTTTCAAATATAGGTCTGCTCCCCGCCCCTCCGAGGGCCCTGAGGAGGTGGGACCAAGGAGATCGTGGGGGTGGGCTGGGGAGACCGAAGCAGGGAGAACGGTTCAGTGCTCGGGGTGCCCTAGAAGGAGAGTTGGGGCAGCCGAGGTGAGGACGCCATCAAACAGCCTGTGCCTGCTTTCGAAATTCGTCCCAGGCCAGCCCTGGGTGTGCCTTGCAAGAGGTGTCCAGAGGAATGTGTTCGGGAGTCACAGCCCTGACTCGGCGGGAACGTTCTCGTTTCCTCGAGCGAAGATTAGGATGGTATCATAGGCAGCAGCATTTCTTCCTTTGCAGACTTTTCAGGACTGTAATTAAGTGCACCAGTTTGAAAGGTTTTGGTAGAAAGCGATCCCTCACAGTGTGCCTGGGGGAGGAGCTGGGCGGGGTTAAGGCCTGGACAGGGTCCTCGCTGGGCCACCCGTGCTCTGGATGATGCTGGGCAGATCACTGCAGTCTCCGTCCCTCGGTCTCCTCTTCCAAGAAATCTGATTACCGTGCCGTCCCACCCACAACTACGGAGAGTTCCGAAGAGAAGGTGCTTTCCACGCCGTACAAGTCACAGGCCATCTCTTACAATGTGTAACTAGTTTCATCTCACGTTGTTTCACGTGCACCACATCCCAGATCCTACTTTGGGGGGCTCGGGTTCCTACAGCAGCCTCCAGACTCCCTCCTCCAGTCCAACACACAGGCCTCAGCCCCTTGAGTGGGCCCCTGCGGTCCTCACACTTCTGGCCTGGCATCTCGCCGCGTCCTTCCCCGGCACCCTGGGCTCAGCCAGTTGAAGCGCTGGACTGTCCCTGAGTTCGTCGTGATGGCTCACTCATTCCTCTGCCTGCACTTCTTTCTCTCCTCGGGTTTCACCGGAGTTACCCTAGGCCCAGACTTTCCCCGCTTAGCCCTGACCACTCTGAAGGGAAACTTCCTGTTTACTTGTCTGGACATGAGGGCCCTTCCGGGGAGTAGGCGGGGGTCCTTCTGGGGAGGGTACCAGGCCTGCTCACTCTTATCCCCGCGTCCTGCATGTGGCCTGGCAGGAGCGAGGCCCAGCGCGGATGTGAATGAATGCTGTGTGTGTCTGCTATTCGCTGTGTTCTCCCTCAGCGCTCTCGAGTGCTGATGAGAGGGAAATGAAAACTCCTGACAATTTGTTTTCCTTCTCTTATTTTGCATGTCATAGATGGCGACACCTGTCCCATGGCGACTGAAAATGCGTATGATCTGTTTGATTCCACCGTGGCAGCGCCACCAACATCAGGTACAAAGCTGAACTCTGGGTAACTATGACAGGGTTGGGTTTGGCAGTAGGACATTTTAAATCGAAGACAAAGGGGGTCCCTGGTCCCAAGAGGGTATCTGGCAGGAATCGGGGATTCACGTTCTCAGCATTTCTAGCTAGTGATCTCCTTCTCCCAGCCAGTTAATCTGTTCCTGGGTATTACCAATTCAGCAATGTCATTGCGTCTCTATTAATTAAAGCGTGACACTTTCCATGGCTTTCAGAGCCTTACCCTGCTGCCCTCACATTCTCAGGCAGCCTGTCTGCAGGGTCGCCGTTCTGCGGACAGGCCCACCTTCCTCCCACTGGGACTTTGCAGTCCGGCCCTCTCCTTGTCCAGACTGCCCTTGTCTCATTCTCTGCCGGTGGAAGTCCTGCTACTTCAAGACTCATGAGTGCAAACTTCACTGTGAAATGCCTTTCTGATGTCCCCAGTGACAAATATTTATCCAGACTTCTGTCTATCCAAAAGTAAAAAGGAATGGACTTTTCCCTTTGTTTAGCGTAATTCTTGTTACCTATTCAATCTAGCTCAATTGTTGCTTCGTCTGGGAAGCCTTCCCTGATCTCCGTTCCTGCACGGAGAATTGATTATTTTTAGCCCTGAGCCCCGTCTCTCCGTCATTGCGCTGTTGTACCTCCCACGCAATGTCTGTATTCTTACTAGACCACGGGCTCCGGGAGTGCGGGCACTGGCCTGATTCATCTGTCTAAATCAGAGTCTTCTGCAGACTGGGTGCCTGACCTGATAAGCTGAATTGAATCGAGCTTCTCCCACATGGGGAATAAGCCCAGTGTGGGGTAATAAACAGACTGAGGTCCTGGAGCCCGGCCTCTTTCTTCTCTGGGCTGCGTCTGTGGCATGTGGGCCTGAGGGCCATTTTTAGCCCTCCTGTCTGGCTTCACCATTGTTGAGTGCAGCTCAGCGAACACGGGGTGCTGCCCCCAGTAGTTCTGACATCTTCCCTCCCATTCTGTAGCTTCAGAGACTCCTTCGCTCTCTGTCAATGACATGGACTCCCTCTCCTGCGTCAGTATCAGCTCAGCCACCAGCATCCCGTGCATGTCTGGCCTGGTCCCTGGCCGCCACTTGTGGGCCAGCGAGAGTGGCTGCCACGTCCTGGGCATGATTGAGGACTATGATGCCCTCTGTAAGCAGATTGGCCAGGGCCAGAAGCTCCTTGCCGAGATGGACATTCAGATTCAAGAGGTTCCCAGCCCCACAGGTCGAGAGCTGGAAACGAAGGTAACCTGACCGACAGCTGGAGGGAGACAGATACTCAGTGGGGGCAGGAAAGGACGTGTTGGTGGGGCGCCTGGGGCAGGGGCGCACCTGGCTTCAGTAAGACCTTGAAACGAGGAACCTGGAAGCGTAGCCCACGAAAGCCACGAGGTCAGCTCCAGTCTGGGGGACCCCTGTTGTTTCCTGTGGGAGGAACACTGGTTGAGGTTGATACACTGCGTTACTGGGATCTGCCCCATGACTCCCTCTGTCTGCTAGCCTCCTGTCCATCCTTCTGTCCTCCAGTGTGTCCATCTGTTCCTCTTTCTAGTCACCTGGCCACCACCCACCCAGGCCTCTGTGGCTCAGGCTCTGGGGCTGCAGCGGTGAATAAGGTGGCTAGACACGCAGATCCTCATGCAGCATATGGTCAGCCGCACCGTGACGTCTCAGCCGCTTTGCGATGAGCTTGCCAGCGTGCGATGTCCTACACCCACCTCCAGGTTGCTTGCCCCTGCCGCCTCTTCATGCAGAGGAGCTGTTAGCACAGTACTCCCTCTCATCCCAGGACAACCCGTGAAGTGGTTGACGTCGTTCCTGCTTTACAGATGCTGAGGTGGAGTAGCTTGGAGCAGTCAGGATTTGAACTCATCTCTCCATCCTCCTAGGTGCTCTCTTTCTGTGTCATGTTGCTACTGCCTGAAGAACATTGTTTGTCACCTCACTCATCTGTGCTGAAACCTCCAGTTCCCCCTGGGTACTGTTCAGATGCCAAGCATTTCAAATTTCTAGTTCTACTGCCTCGCTCCCCAGTTTCACCTCCCGTGTGCCCCGTGTGTGCCCTGCCCCTGTCAGGCTGGGCTGCATGCTGTCATCCTCCTTGCCAGCCACATCCTGGCTCCCCGTGCCCTCTGGCTTGGAAGACCCCTCAGTCCCTCTTAGCTACCCCTTCTTCCTGCCTCCTCCCACTGGAACCTTCCTTTTAAAGTTATCTTTCATTGAGGACCTGTGTGCCAGGCACTTGACATAAAGTTACTCATTCATTCACTTTCTCCAAGGTTTGGGGTCAAATTTTTCCCCCCACCAGACTGGACCCAACCTCCCAGCTTCTGTGGGTCACACTTTCCGTTCCTCCTCCCAGGTCCCTCCTGAGGGTGCTTGAGGCCCCTGTTTCCTGATACCTGTTTTGCCTTTTAGTTTTATTTTGTTTTACTATTATATTGTAAAAGTCAATTTTGCATTTGACATTCCACTAGATAATAGGGTCCGAGAGAGCAGGGATAATGTCTGTTTTGCCCAATACTGTTTATCTACCTAGCACGAGTCCTGGCGTGGAATAGACACGTGGTGTAAATATTTGTTAAATGAATTAATAGTAACAAGATTATTCTTTTCTAATTATAATCTTTATTGTACAAAAGCTAGAAACTGTAGGAAAGCATAAAAACAAAATATCTATAAATATACCAGTCCTGAACCCTTAAAATTTTGATATATGCTTTTAGCTCATTTGTAAAGTTTAATAAAACTGTCTCAAACGTACATGAACTCCATATTTTGACTTCCAGTTCACAGTACATTAACATTTTTCTTATTCAGTATATTTCTAGAATTTGACTTTTAATGGCTGGAAAAGAACATATGGATGTACCACTGTTTATTTTTACTCTTAAACCGGTTGTTGGACATTTAAGCTGTGATGATCCTTCTAAATAGATGTCTGGTCATATCCTCGAATAATTCATTAGGGGCAAATTCTCAGAAGCGGAAGTTGTGAACTCTTTAGGGCTCTTGTGATAAATCTTGCTGCATCACTTTACAAAAATATTGTTATTTCTCTACATCTTTGTCTTCACTGAGTATTTTTACATACAAGTTTTTTTTTCTTGCTAATTCGGTGGCTAAAAAGGGTGTGTTATTTTATTTTGTATTTATTTTATTGTGAAGAATTTCTTTTTTTTAAATTTACTTTGTTTTCCCATCTCTGACTCACGGCCTTTGCTTCCTCGTGCTCTTGACATCCCCCAGTTTGAGTCTGCTTCGGCCAGCAGAGCGGGTGAGAGGGCCTGGACGAGGCCCCCCGCTGTCGTCCAGGCAGTAAGCAGAGCCATTTAGCAGGGACGGCTGACTCAGAAAGGTTCATGTTGTGTCCCTTGCTATTGGCGTCGTTTGTTTGCTTTCCGGAGAGGCTCCGTGGGCCGTGGAGCAGGGAGTGGCCCTACCCCGGGCCCTCTTCTTGGCATAGTAAATATAGTTAATGCAGGTGGTTATTAATCACGGTTATTGATTCGGTTAAAATCACCACCGAAATTCTCTCATAATCTACAATTCACTAGTCTTTTAAGAACAATAAATTGGTGTCATCTGGCACTAGGCTGTTGCTCAGCATGTGGAACGTAAGCCCTGCGGTCTGGAGATTTATGCTGCCTACTAATGCTGGCTCGTCTGGAATCTTTTTCCAGCCCACAAGTAACAACCCTCTTGTTCCTCCATGCAGGGTCTACACTCGGCACCCCTGAGCAGGTTCGTCACCACCGTGAACACAGCCAAGCTGACCCTGGAAGAGGCCGCGAGGTTACTGACGCTTCTCTGGAGGGTCTCACTCCCCACAAATGGCCAGTGCACCCTTCACTGTGAGCAGGTGGGTGGCGGCACATGGATTCAGAGGCTCAGAGATGCCACTAGGGCTTGTGCCTCAGTCTCCTTTATGTCTAGCCCAGGTCCTGACTCGGCAGACGTGCCCTTAGGTTGGGGACTGTGTCAGAGGGCGCGGAAGGCGCTGTGTTTGTTCAGAGTGGTGTGCCCGCTGCTCCCTGTGTTTCTTACCTCATCCCCTGGCACCCTTGCAGCCCTGACCAGGCCTGTCCTCACTCCTGGCATAGCTCTGTTGAGGGAAATCCTGTTCGCATTCTACACATGAGGAAACCGAGGGCCAGGGAGTGAGGCCCATAGTCAGGGTTATAGAGCTGGTTTGAAGGCACAAGTGTCTGAATCCGAAGGATAAACTTTCATTTATGGGTTTTAGGTCCCAGCTTGTCCTCGTGGATTAGCTCCTTCCTGTCTGCTCAGAGTCTCTTCCAGGTCACGTGCCTTTCTCTGGGCCATCTGACGCCTTTTGTTAGCTTTCAGCATCATATTTAGTGGGCCTCGTTCAAACCTGTTTTAACTTCTTCGAAACGACTTTTTTTTTTTTAATCGATGAAAATCACTTATAAAACCATTGAAACTTTCCTAAAAGCTCAACTTTGCAGTAGCTTCAGTGTGACTGGATTAAGAACAGTTGCTCCACACCTATCCTCATCCCCTTATCCCATGGCACCAGTCAGGATTCAGATAGAGCAGAAGCGATCGTAGGCTTTTGTCTGGGACACACGTAGTATTGTGACGGGGTGGGCATCCACTCTGGTAACCAGAGAAACGTGCCCTGGAAGAAGGAGCACACAGGTTAAGGGGGAGTTAGATCTCTTGCTTGGTGGACTGAGAGAGAGTTCCCCCTTCGTTTATCTGACCTGTAAATTCCTGCCGAAGGCCAGCAGGAAGGCAGAAGGGAAATTTGCATTCTGTGTCATTACTCTTCTGGTTAAACCCCTTTTGACAGCTCTCGGGTCTGTCAGTCATGGCAAAGAAGTAGCAGTGAAGCGGCTCCCTCTGCTTGAGAGGTTCTACGGAGCCTATCCTAAGGTTTCTCCCTTGGGGTCCTGGGGAGGAAGTTTGGGTGCTGCAAGCTTGGGGAAGTATGTAACCAGCCACGGCACAGGAAAATCATGTTTTGCCCACTTTTAGCTGGTGGGGGCCTGGAGTAGAAGGAAAACGGAATGTTGGAGGGAAGGGGGGCCTCTGGGTTCCAGCCCCACATTCTAACCCACCAAGCTTTTTTCCATCTTAGGCTTAGATGACACAGATGCCCCCACTCCCAGCTGTCTGGCTCCTTCTCACCTTTCAGGTCTCAGCTTAAATGTTACTTCAGAGAGAGCTCCCTGTTCACTCAGTCATAGCATCCTCTTCTGTGTCATCATAGCCCTTTTCACAAGTTACAATTATACGTTCATTTGTTTAATGTCTGTTTACACGTTTTCCATGAGGGGCCAAGTCTATTCGGTTCATATTTTTGAATGAATCAGTGAATGATTGCCTCTTACACTCTCAAACCAGTATTTGCCCATATGATTTGTAAAGCGCACCATGTCTGAACTAAAAAATCCACCCACAACACACTGCGATAATGTTTTTGTCCGCTGTACTTAGTAACGTCTGTTAAACAGACAGAACGCAGTTCTTATTTCGCGTGCACGCGTGAGTGTAAATTGTCACGTTAATATCCCCTGTAGCAAATTAGTCCAGAGATGGATCAGTGCTCGTGTGGTTCACCTCTTCTTCCCGAGGCTTCCTCGGGGAATTGACTGTGCTCACTTTAGCATCAGAGAACTTTGGAGCCACGAAAAGGACCCTACAGATGCCCCGATATAGTCGCTGGTGTACACAGACCCCCGTGTGGTGTTAAATTGCCTCTGGCCACTTTCCTGTCCCTGCCTGTGTTTCATGCAGTGCCTTTTTCTTGGTGTGAAATGTGTGTAAGTCAGATTTCCAAGTTTTCACTAGCAACCCCAATGGTTTTTTTTATTACCTAGTGTTTTCTCCGAGCGTCATTAATTTGCCTTTTGCATTTAATACACCATCCCCTGCAGTTCCTATGACTGGTCTGGAAAGTGTGATCATATGCATCAGTTTAGCTAAGAAAGTTTTAATTTTTTTACATATTTATTTTTTTAATGGAAGGATAAACAGTAACGAAATAGGCCACTCTTAGGGGTGAGCAGGAAGAGGATGGAAGGGCAGGGATAGAAGGTTGCTTTCTCTGAATAGGTCTTGTTCTGTAAATTTCACTTTGAAAACATAAATGCTTTACATAATTATAAGTAAAAATGAAACGAGAAAAAAAGCAATGTCTAAAAATTCATAGCAAGAAGAAATAGACAGACCTTAGTGTATACAGTATAAAAGGCATAACCACACAAAGAGGAAACGTTTCTATGACTAGAACAGTAATTTGTATGTTATCACTAGTGGAAATACTCTAAGGGCAAAAAGAACTGCAAGAAAATTTTAAACTGTTTTCAGTGATTAAGTTTTTGGTAATAATATTGGTATTGACAGTATGAAACTATTTATAAGGTAAAACAAATAACTAATTGTGTTGAGTTTTTTACTGTCAGGGAAGAGATTTGATGAATAAAAAATAAAAGGGTAAAAATCCTGCAACCCTTAATTTGAATTGGAAGTATCAATATGAACTCATGATGTATTTCCTATTAATAAATTTTACTAATTTCTCTATATAAAAGGTATAAAAATGTCCAATCCAGAACCAGTGAGCACTTTTAGCGCCAAACTGTGGTTTCTAAATACCTTTTTCCACTAAAAGGCAATGGGGCTTGTTTGAGAAATGGCTTAATTCTAGGTCTAAGCAGGAAATGTACAATATGAACTTTGAACATCTTTTCATCCTGGGGAAAAAAGAGAGAAAAGAGAGAGTGAAACTTGCAGATTTACACTGGTTTTCAAATTATGTCCCCTGGACCAGCAGCATCAGCATCATCTGGAAACTAGCTAGAAAGGCAAATTTGGGGGCTGTACCCCAGACCTACTGGATCAGAAGCAGTCTGTTTTTACAAGTCCTTTTGGTTGCTCTGAGAACCAGTGGATTAAAAGAGATGTAAGAGACACGGCAATCAAATGCAAAACATGCTGTTTATTTGTATTCCAATTTAAGTGAAATCAAATCAGTTATTCAAAAAAAAATAAAATAAAATTAGGACGTATTTAGGGAAATGTGTCTACTGACATAATTGGTAATATGAAGTAATTATTGCCATTTTTAGATGTGATCATTGTGTGTTTTTTAAAGAATCTTTTTTCTAGAGCTATATACTAAAATATTTTATGGATGAAATATGATTATCTTCTAGGATTGATTTTAAAAATAATTTTAGGGTGAGGACAGGCAGGATTTTGATGAAACAAATTTGACCACGATTTGATGATTGCTGAAGCTGAGTGGGTACCTGGTGATTTATTGTCCTCTTCTTTCTACTTTTGTAAATATTTGAAGATTTTCATTGTAAAAAAAAGAAAATAAACAGTCAAAACCAAACCAAAACAAAAGGAAGCCAGCTCTGGAAATCAGACAGAGTGCTCATGAGTAGGGCGTGGTTCTCAGCTCTGAGCTGAGCTCGGTGGCCGGAGGAAGAGTCACTCTTTGAGCTCCTCCTGGTGTCAGGCACTCTGCTGTGCACTCAGCCTCTCACTTCATCCCACAGCAGCCTCCCGAGAGTTGGGTGGTATTGTTCCCACGTTCTGGAAGTAAAAACTGAAACTCCCTTGCTCCATCATCATAACAATAACAGCTGGAAGTGACCGAGCGGGGCTTTGGAGCCCTGCAATATCTACCAAGAGGGGTTTATCCTGTAAAACTAAAGATTCTAGTTCAGAGGAACAGCGGACAGTAATCTAAATTCCTTGTTTTAAGTGCTGGATAGAATATGTACAGAGTGTTTTAAGAGTATAGGTGGAAGTTAACCCCCTGGTTGGCAGATGGCCTCACAATACCCACTCTGTGCCAGGCTCTGGTGCTCAGAGGAAGAATTGAGTTCTGCCCTGAGGGAGCTTGTATTCCTGGAGGGGAAACAGTGGGCACCCAAAGGAACAGAAACCAGCCTAGACTCCTGGTGGGGAAGCGTCTCAAGGAAGGCTTCCTGGAGGAGGTGATGCCTGAGTTTGACTTTAGAAAGGGGAATTGAAGCGAGCCAGGCAGGGATGAAATAATCGTTCACCCTGTCTTCAGGCGTCATCCCATTTGAGTCTCACTCTGTTGCGATGTGATTTATGGGTCAGGACCATCCCTCTTTTACAGATGTGGAAGGAGCCAAGGCTCTGAATATAGAGTGACTGTCCTGGCACGTGTGGCCTTTGAAGCCATGTCTGGAACACAGATCTTTGTGGGCTCTTAGCATGAGGAAGAGAATCAAAGAAAACCTAATGTTTAAAGTAGGATCTGTTTTGGAAGAACAGTTTAAATCCTTGTAGCTGACACAATTGGTTAATCTTAAAAGTAGGTTAAAGCAGGGAATCAAAAAATGATACATACCTTAAACATTTTAGTTTAACAGTTAAATGCACATTCATTTGCCATTCTTTTGATGTAGGGCCAGAGCCTTTTCTTTGAATATGGGTCTGCTGATGGGAGTTCTACATTTCCTTTCTTTCATAAACTACATCCATAATGTATGTCTGTCACTTCCAATTTCTGTTTCTTTAAGATGAAGAAAAGACTTAGACACTTGCAAAGCAATTTGAATATAGAATTCTTCTAGACCTTGTTCCTCCCACAACTTTTATAGTTGATTTACCCACACCTAATATGCCAGAAATGTGCTTTCAGTGACTTGCCTTTATCAACCAGCTTACTCTTTTCATACACATATTTTTATGGGTTTACGTAGTGATTAAATCATATACAGTAAGTTCCATGACTTTTAGGCGAAATGATATATAACGAAACCAGTTTTACTATAGGCTAATTGATAGAAACCAGAGTTAAGTTCCTGTGGCATCTCGTCAACGTTAAAATGAAATATTGAACTAGACAGTGTCGTTCCAGGACTTGCTGTACTGATTCCAAGTTCAGCTGTCAAAAATAAGTTTGGGGACAAACTGAGGGGACTCTCGTAAGCTGACAGCCAAACATCTCCCCTCTCGGGAGCAGAGGTGTTTCGATGTAGCAGAGAGTGGTTTGTGCCGGAGCACCGTGCAGTCAGGGTATTTTACGAGAAAGCGAGTGTCCCTAACCCTAAGGATTAGGCGGGGGACTAGTCAAGATGGCCTCGGTGCCGTGCACCTCTCACTTCAGAGGACTGGGGACTCTGGTTTTGCTGCCCGTCCGCGTTTTCCTCATTTCTGAAAAATCAAAATAGGTTCTCCTGATGGGTCATACTTTCCTAATAATGCTTTTATATCTCTTTTTAGGATTTAAGCATTAATATTTGTAGTTTTTATTGAAAAATTCGATTGATTCTGATAAATTTTAAAAAATGGGAATAAAACATTCCAAATCACATTTCCCGAGAGTAATCACTACTCACATTTTGATGATGTCTCTGTGTCACCAAATTTTTCTAGACATCGTGATATACCCGTCTATGGATATAGATATATGTATTCAATTTATGAAATGGGAATGCCTGATACACACTAGCAGTTCTGGGTTCTTTTTGTCACTAATTATTATCATCTTTCAATGTCAATGAATAGAGTTCTACAATATCATTTTTAATAGCTGCAAAATTATTCCATTGTATATAAATACTATAATTCATTTATCTGGACCCCTATTAAGACAAATCAGGTTGTTTATTTTTTCCTACTACGAACAACGCTGAGATAGAAACCCTTGAACACAGGCATCTTCTTGCGTTCACATTGTCACTCCTTGCGGCGAATCACTGGGTCAGAGGGTCAAGCGCATTCTATAACTTGGTAAGCCTTCGCAGGGCGCCCACCTGGCTGTGCCAGGCGCCAGTCCACCGGCAGTCCTGGCTGGGCACTTTCCCCACACCCACAGACCTCGTCCCTGAACTTGACCTGCTTTTGTCAATCCGACCAGCAGAAAATGGCTTCTAGTTTTTATTCGAATGTTTGTGTTAGTAAAGTTTAGCTTTTTTATATATGGTTTTGTAATTCTGCTTATGCGATATGTTTTATAAACTTTGTTCATTTTTCTAATTCCTTTTCATTCTAGACTGGAGAAACAGAGGCAGAGATCACCAAGCTACACAAAAAGTTGTTTGAACAAGAAAAGAAGTTGCAAAACACCATGAAGCTTTTGCAGCTGAGCAAGCACCAGGAAAAAGTCATCTTTGATCAGTGTAAGTGAGCGGTTGGTGGGGGTGGGGGTGGGGGGCAGCCACCATGTCTGACCACGTCCTCAGGACTGAAAAGCAGCCCTGGACTGCCCACTTCAGGGCCCAGACTGCTTGTCATCGTGGCTCCTGTTTGTAGGCTGCCTTTCCTGCTTCACCCTTCCCAACCTGCACAGACAGATGAGTTTCCTTAACAGACTTTTGTAGGGGGACTACTCTGTGCCAGGGGCTGTCGTCCTATTGGGAAGATGGTGTATGACATGTGCAGGGATAGGAACATGTGCAGGGGCTTAGGGAGCGCCGAGGTGGGAGTGGGGCGGATGTCACTCTGTCCTGGAAGGTGGGCTTCTTAGAGGAAGTGACGCCTGAGCCGAGTGTGCAGGGTGGAGTACGCGTTGGTCAGATGGAAAGGAGATGGTGCAGACAAAGGCAGAGAGGAAGAAACAAGGTGTTGAACGTGAGAACCCAGCAGCAGGAGTTCACGTTGCTGGAGTGGGAGCGACCGGCTGGTCGAGGGGGGCGGGGGCGAGAGGGACCCGGACTGCGCTGTGTGAGGCCTCAGGCGGCAGGCGCGGGCGGCTTGCACTCGGAGCGCAGCGTCGACCGATTGCATCCACGTGCAGGAGGTTGCTGGCGCAGCTGCCCCCCCGCGGGCCAGGCAGGCGTCTTGGGGAGGACAAAGATTTGAGAACGACTTTTCGAGGCAGATGCAGAGACTGGATGGAGGTCGGGGAAGTAGCATGGCCTTCGCGAGGTCGGCTCAGCCCACCCCGGTGTGGGAGCTTCAGAGCTGGGGGGAGCAGCTGCGTTTTCCCACGTCAGCCCGCAGCGCTCATTCCGCCGCGTGTTTGGAGGGCGGCCCGAGTTTCTCCTGGTGCCCCTGGCAGCACAGCCTGGCCGCGTCTCGGGCTGCCTGCCTGTCGCTTCCCTGACTTAGGAGCGCCGCGATCCAGCACCTTCCTCACGGCCTTGCGCTGCTCTCTCAGCAAAGCCCAGCATTTCCGGGGCATTTCTGAGAAGCACAGACAGATTATCGTCAGTGAGACTTCTCCTTACTCACCCCCGGAGCCTTCTGAAAACAGCCTGTGACTGGCAGAGTTCGAACTGCCACAAAGGGACACGTAGTCACCAAGCGAGCACTGAGTTTGTGAGGCCCTGGCAACAGGGGTGAACGAGACAGTTCTTGCCAGTGTGGAGCTTTGACTCATGGGGGAGACACACAAACGAGCTGCAGGACGATGCACCTGCATCTCAGGTAGCCCGAGAGGTGCTTCAAAGCCCTGGATCACCTGGGTCTTGAGGTTGAGTAGGAGTTAGAGAGGGGGCAGGAACACGATTCTGGCGGGTGGCCTCCCGGGCAAGAAGTGAGTGATGGAAACACGCTTTGAACACGCCAAGACTCTTGCTTTGAGAGGTGAAGTGAGGGGATAAGTCAGGGCCAGGCCACAAACAGCGTGTGGGCCGGACCCAGCGAGCGGCAGGCGCTGACAGGGACCACAGTGTGTCAGAAGGTCCTGTGGCTGAGTGTGGAGGGGTCAGGAGGTCGGGAGACTGTGGCAGTCCCCAGGCAGGCAGTGGGGAGGCCCGACGGGGCCCACAGAGGGCCGTTGACGAGAGGGGGTCGGTCGCTCTGGCAGAGCGGTACACGTTTGTGGGGTTCTGGCCTCGGGGTTCACGTCACCCTGAAAAGTGCCTGGGTCTGCGTCCGGCCTCACTCTGGGCAAGCCCGGACGTGGGATGTGTCCTTTCCCCTCTGCCCCTCGGGCTGCTCGTCGCAGTGGATCTCGTGCCCTGGGAGGTGGGCAGAGCTGGTCAGACGTGGGGGCCCTTCACCCGGGCCGGGCGAGCCCCAGCTTTCCGCTGGGAGTCTCGTTCTTTCGGTGCCATTCCCACGGTATGTTTAACCCACAGCCGCGATACCTCATCTTTCTGGGTCACAGGTCTGTTGGCGACTCTCAGGAGGGGCGTGATCTGTCTCCAGAAAGATGCCTACGTCCACGAACACACAAAAATTTGAACTTAGTTTCCGGGGATGTAGGGCACCCCAGAGCACATCCTTGGACCCGGGGTGGAACGGCCGCCCTGCGGCATGGGGTTGGGGCGAAGGCACGGAGAGGCAGCGGGCCTCTGAAGTTCATTTTGCCCAGTCGAAACAATCCCACAGTGTCTGTCCTTCCCCTGGCGTCACAGATTGCAAACAGACTTCATTATTTCCAGATGGAAATTTTTCTGAGGCAAGAAATAAATATTTTCTCAAGGCCACCACATGGCACCTGTTCTGAATGAGCCATCAGGGAGCTTGACGGGGCATCTGTTTCAGCCTTGGGCACCATTGGCCAAAGGCCCAGTTCCAGAAGCCTGTGTCCTCTTTCCCAGGGAGTAGCTGCCTCTCTGGCCCTCACCAAACCCTCTTAGGATGGGCCCCTGAGCAGGCCAAGGGACCTCTTCCGGGCCAGCGTTCCTGCTGCTGGGGTTTGTGTTGGACAAGAGGGGACGGAGGGAAGAAGCCACCCCACTGTACAGATGCTGCCCCGAGTGGCAGGTGCTCCTGTCCCTCCCGTGGGCTGCGGCACGCCGGGCCTCTGCCCGTGCTCGGCTCAGAGCCAGATCTGCAGGCGCCCCCACTGGCCCCCGCTAGGCCCTTGTCCTGGTAGCACGTGGCTGTGCAGGGAACCATGCAGGGCTTGTCTGCCCGCTGAGGAGGGGATGCGCCGGGCTTTCTCCCGGGTCTTTCCGCGCCTGCTCTCAGGACGGCCCTGGACACGTTTGACTTCCCAGAACTGCCCTGGCCCCTGGCGTGGCCTCCGCACATGGGTTTGCTTCCCAGAGCTGCTTCTCCGGAGGGCTGGGAAACCAGAGCATGCGGGGTGCTTGTCAGACACCAGCCCCACCCTGCCCCATCGCCCTCCCGGGGCCGTAGAGGTGAGCCCGAGGGTACCTGAGCCCCCGGCCGGCCTCGCAGAGCCTCGGCCTTTGTCTTCTAGAACATGGTGCAGCAGGCTCTGCTCTGGTGTCGCTGTGAGGTCGTGGCTGAGCATGGATGTGCAGTCTCGTCTCCGGGCCACCCTCTCTGATGGATTCTTTGGTCCTGGGGTGCGTGACGGGCCGGTGGGGGCTTCATGCCTCTCTGGTCTGTGTGCTTCAGGCTTGTCTGAACCACCCAGGGTTCAGGGGGCTCCTCCTCCCTGCACCCAGCTCTTAGAGGGTCCGCCTGGGCACCCGGGTCTAATCATCCCCTTCTTCGCTCTCTCCTCAGTGGTCGTGACCCACAAAATCCTTCGAAAGGCCAGAGGAAACCTGGAGGTAATGAATGCCCCTTCGAGTTTCTTCCACTGAAAGCCATTTGGGGTGGGGGAATGGGTGCCGGGCAGGAAATGACTTCTTTTGAAAAGTGAAGTTGAAGATGAAACCAGAGTGCGTGTTCTCCGCATCCAGCCATGTTCTTCTGCCAGAAGTACACAAAAAATTTTGTTTTCTCATGCCGTGGTTTCAGTGGTTGTAATTATTAAACTTGTGTGCTATTTGCACCCATGAGAAATACAGTGAAAAGTGCCTGCACGTAGTAGGCATTTGATAAACATTTTTGAATGAGTGAGTACAGTAGGATCTCATGGTCATTAGGTTCTGTAAATATTTACTGACCAAACATTATGTCTTTGGCAATAGTTTCAGAATAACAGTCTCACCTTTAACTGTCAGGGATCTCACTTCAGAAACCCTCCAATGGGCCTAAAATTCTCCCTTTTCCTCCCTTTTTCTAGCTTAGGCCCGGGGGTGCCCATCCAGGAACGTCCAGTCCCAGCAGACCCGGCTCCTGAGAACTTGCAGCCAATAAAGCTTGTGGTTCCCCCTGAGCTCACGCTGTCTCTGTTACAAGTGTGGTTCCTGCTTATTGGGAAAGAGCCGTCTGCTCAGAGGGAATCTCTCCGCTTGGTGTGCTCTGTCCTGACGTTGGTGTAGGGCTCATTGTTGGTGTAGGGCTTATTGTCGGACAGGCTCCGGGCGCCCTGCATTGCGGGGCGTGGCTGGCCTTGGGCGCGGGGTGCGTCTCCGCTGGGGCAGCGCGTGGAGCCGAGGTGTCGCTGCCTCGTCTCTGCCTCGCTCGGCGGTGGGCTTCATGCCCACCCATGTGCTTAGTGCTCGGCCAGCCCCGCGGTTCGAGGATTCACATTTAATGACTCATTTCAACTTGGTGATGCAGTTACTTTGTGTGGAGCCTCAAAGCCCAGATCCCAGACGCCCAGGTGGGACAGGCTGGGGCCTCGGGAGTGGTGTGGCCCTTGGATGTCACCTGAGCTCTCTGCCGAGCCCACTCAGGTGTCCAGAGAGGAATGGCGCCTCATGGTGTGGCTGGGTCACCTGACATCTGCACCTCGTGTGGACTCAGCAACTCGCAGTCACGGCCTAGCGCGCGGCCCCCCGAGGTGGCGCCGTTCCCGGCGTGGGAAGGATCCATGAGGCCCGCAGTGTCCCCACGACGACTGTCCCCACAGCACGGCCGGCTGCGTCTGCCCCATCCCTGTCACTGACCGTCATGTTTCATTGTCTTCCACCTTCGCCCTGAGCTCCATGATGTCCCTGAGAAATAGACTGTTTAGGGCTTGGCCCCATTCGCAGACGAGGCTCAGGACGGGCCGGGGACTGAGAGGCCCTGCCAGCCGTCCTCCGACGTGACGCTTGCTGCCTCGCGGCCCTGTGCCCACCACCTCGGGGCCTCCGAGCAGGCGTCAGCAGGGCACGTGGGCCTCGTTTGTGCAACAGCTGAAGCCTGACTCAGCCTCCCTCTCTGTCCCCTTTCCTGCCATCACTCTGGGGACTTCGGCGTCCGTCTGGATGACCCCTCAGCTTGCTCTCCCTCTGCAGTCACTCGTTCTGACACTGCCCTCTGACCATCCCCTCTGTCCTTCGGCTTTCTCCCTTGTCCCCTCTGGGAGATCCCAGTCTCCGGTCCCTTCACCTCTTTCCTTATTAACAGGCTTTTTCTTGTCCCAAGTTCCTTTTCCTTCACGTTTCTCGAATCTTGCCTCTCGCACCTGAATCACTCCTCCGCCCTGCAGCAGCCTAGGTGTTGGAAAGCCCACGTTTGCCCAGGATGTTTTCCACGCTGAACACAGGCGAGGCGTCACCCAGGCCCCTGACGAGGTGCACCAGGAGCTGGGCCGGCCACTGCCCGCACCCCCGGGTCCTCTCTCATCTCGCTGCTTTGCACTTCCTGTCCCAGGCAACCCGACCTTCATTAACTCACCCAAGTGCCCCTCCCACCCTCTCTCTTTCTAGTCTGCCTTGAGTGGTCCTTCAGAAATCCTCCCCACCGTGGGGGCCACTGAGCGATGCGATGGCTTCGTTGCCCAGTCCAGTCCTGTCCTTATTCCGTGACCTCACTGGAGTTGGGGACTACAGGGAGGTCCCAGTCAGGCCTCTTATCCCCAGGGCAGCTGAGCGTCTTGTCCAAGGCCCTTTCCTTTGAGAGGTAGAGCTGGGGCTTGGTCCCTCCTGTCCTTCCAAACCCCAGCTCTGCTCTCCGCTGCTGCCCCTGCAGCTCCCCAAACCCGGCGATGATTTGAGGTGATGTGAAGGGGAGCGGGGCCGCAGGAGCCAGGCCGGGGGCTGGGGGACAGACCTCTCATCCTGGCCCCTGCCTCTCCACCTGTTTCCCATTGGGTGAGGGGTGGACAAGTGGTCAGTAGGGACCCTCTCTGCTTCGGTTCCTGTTGTCTGAGCTCTCCTCGTGAGAAGCATTTGCACAGATATGCCTCAGTCCATTCCAGTGTGTGAACACTCAGATTCCGGCATGAAGTAATGTGGCAGCTCCTTTTTCAAGGACTTGCACAACTGGAGTCCTAAATGGAAGCCCGACCTGCAGCCAGGACGGCTCAGCGTGGCTCTGCTGGGGGCGGGGAGGGGCAGGACGCTTGGCTTCCAGGCCTAGCCACAGGCTTCTGTCGTCTCTGCACCTGCGAAATGAGAATCGCCCTTGCACCTAGGCCCGATCACACTGTGAGCCTCGAAATTTGGAAGCAGACAAACAATAAAACCCTTTCGAAAAATTAAGGACTTATTCAGTGTCTCTCAATGGCTAGTCTCAAGGAAGTTTCCAAAACCCCATTTTAAGTTCCCATAGCAGCTGAGCACAAATGCGAGTGTGTGTGTGTGTGCGCGCGTGCGTGCGTGCGTGCGTGTGGCAGAGCAGGTGGTAGGGTGGGTTGTACAGAACGGATGTCAGAGCTCAGACGAGGCTTGGAAGTCAGACCCGGGTTCAGATGTGCCTTCAGGGGGTCTATACTGCCGACCTCACTGACAGTTACGAGTGTGTTGCCTGGCAGAGGGTTTGTGCACAGCCCTGGGAGCTGAACTGGGTCATTGGCAAATATGAGTTGGACGGGTTGTGAGGGGAGATCCATTTTTGCTTCTGGTACATTCCAGGCCATCTGGTGGGTAGACCCAGGCATACCTGGGAGTCCAGCCGGCCACTCAGTTCAGTTACCTACAGTCTTTCAGGAACCCAGTCATAGAAAGCAGAGTATGTGTTTATCCCCCGATTTAGAGTTGTGCAAATGTTTCCAGCCTTGGGCTTCTGAAGGCCCTTCCTCCTCTGGAAGGTGGAGGAGCAGCCGGGTTGGTTCAGGTTGGATTAGGGCCAAGAACAAACTGCAAATAAGGACAATTTGGACCTTGGAAAAGGCTCCATTGTCCCTGGTGAGTTAATTTTACCAGCAGCTGAATGCAGGAGGCTCTGAAGCAGTAATCAGAAAATGCATCAGTTTCCCGTCAGTGAAATTAATCACCACATGCACCCCAGGAACCCCACAGGAGAGAGACAACTGCAGAGGATAAATGTGTAGAAAAGGAGGGGGAGAGGCCCAGGGCTTCCAGCCCACCTGGGGCCTCCTGCTGCCCAACCTTGGGCCCACCTGCCACTTTTCTGTCTTGAGTCCAAAGGGTAAAATCCTCACCCCTCCAGGCTGGCGCCCACCTTCACAGCAGTAGCCACACTGTGCATCGTCGCATTAATTAATCTGCACCATCTTGCTCACTGTACAGGTGAGAAAATGAGGAGAGTCGTCTTAATGTCGGAGCCTGGATTTGAACCTGTATCTGCCGAAACCTGTTTTCTACATCATCCTGTCCTCTGGATTAATAACATTTCTCCCTAAAATGCTGCCTATTCCAAAAACTGCAGCCCTTCCCCACATTACAAACCAAAATATCCTCACCCCACCCTTTCCAACAAAAGGTCTCTGGGTGACCAGAGCAGGGGCCCAGAGACCCACAATTGAATTCCACGACTCGACAGCCCCAAGAATCACTTGTAAATGGGGCTGTGGACG